TTCCTTGTGGCGCTTCAGGACCTCATTCTTCGCCGGGCGAGACTCAAGCCGATCGAGATGCTCTGGGCTCCCCAACTGGGCCGCAACTTGCCAACGGTTAAGCCATTGGCCACGCCGCTCCGCAGCCACGACCACCTCGTGGCTTGTCTGCTTGACAAACATGTGGAGCCATTCCAGCGCGCTCGGGCGGCGGCTTTCCGCGAAGGCGTTTAGATCTGCTTCGCGGCGACCCGGCGCACACCGCGCGTCCGTCGCCTCGGAGGCGCCAGTGAAACAGCCTTGCTGGATCTGGAAGGACAGCTCCTCCGTAGCACGCTTGTAGAAGTCCTTTGACACCTCGACGCAGTCGGAAGGTTCCTCACGTGACTTAGCATTTGCCGCGGCCTTTGCCTTTCCCTTTGCCATGCACCTTGGCAACCTTCCGCACTTGAGCCTGCGGCTCCTCCTTGGCCTTTGCCGCGGCAGACGTTTTGGGCGCCATGTCCAGTGAGGCAGCTAGTAAGCCTAACTGCAGGTTCTGGCATGGGTGCAACTGAGACATGTCATGCCAACCCAATCGAGACGCATTAATCGCGCGTTGCCATGTGACAGGCGTGTGAGAGACCCGGCGTCCACGACCAAGGAACTCTGCAATCTTGTCCAAAAAGAATGGAAGGGCAGCGACGACATCCATGCAGGTTGTAGGCCCGCTCGCAGCCATCACGCGGCGATCAGATGAGCTGGCGCAAGCGCTGTCCACTGCAGCAAGAGCCGCCAGAGATGTTTCGCAAATATGGCCGCAAGCACAGATGAAAGTTGCATCAACGGCGCATCTGCTTCGCGTTCCAAGTGGCAACGAGCCCAGCGCAATATGCGACATCTCACCACCGTGCTCGAAACACGCTGCATGGCCAGCACAAGAATCTACCAGTCTTGTTTCATTACTGCATGTATCCGCGCGAAATGAATCGCTGCGAGACGCAAAGAAATTTGTTTAGCAAACTGGGATCAAATCAATAATGAGTCGTTTGATGAGAACCATTCACATTAAACATATCAAATTGAAGGAGCTGAGAGCTGCGGTCATACTCAAGGTTGCTGTATTGAATGTGTGAGTTGAATTTCACAGTATGAGCAAATCCATAACAAACATGTTGACAATTCATTTATGTATTTTCTTGATATGAGTGTCAAACAAAATATTAAGCACTCAAAACATAGTTCATCAATCATTTCCATTGTACTCGCAAGCAACAACCCACAAGCAAACAATATCGTGTTTTGATATGTTAAGAAGTAATCTCAGTTGACAGTCAGGCAAGTATGAAACTACGTAAATGAGAATATCACTGATCACAACCATTCACAAATACATATGGGTAGGTCAATATATACAAATATATATTCACAAATCAAGACTTGCCCACAAATGAGGTCCCGTGTACTCAGAATTGCAATCAAATCTGATCAAACTTCCCCAACATTTGAGAAATTGGAAAAACAATTAAACATCTGAAAAAAATCTGAAAAATCTGAAAAAAAATCTGAATCTGAAAATTTAGTAAAGGAAATGATGAACATCTGAAAAAAATCAGATTTTTCAGATTTTTTCAGATCTGAATCATGCACACATATGTCTGAAAACAGTCTGAAAACCTGAATATGTCTGAATCTGTCTATCTTCAGCTGTCTCACCAATAGAATCTGAAACATACATAGTGTTTCAGGACAATTTCAGGTTTTCACCTATGTTCTGATTGCAAATATGCGGCTTCCTTTCACAGCCGAAATATTTTTGTAATACCAAAATATTTCAATGGTTTGTAAACTTCAAAGATTTCATAGCATAGTTGATGAACCCCTCCAAAAAATTCCCACTTCACCAAAAACAGCAGGCCGATCAAGCAACTACAGGCCCTGAAAGGGGTCCAGCTTCACAAAAAATGGCAGCCACAGACAGCAAACAAATTAGAAGCTCTGGCCAGTAAAAAGCTCTGCTGCGCAGAGAAAAAAACAGGCGCACACAACAACAAAACTAGAAGCCTAGTGGAAAAATCCCACTTCACAAAAAGCAGCAACCCGACCAAGCAGGCCGGTGACAGGCCCTGAAAAAAACACCTTCACGAAAAAAATGGCAGCTAGAGACAACAAGCAAACTAGAAGCCCGATGGAAAAAAACCCACTTCACGAAAAGCAGCAACCCGACCAAGCAGGCCAGTGACAGGCCCTGAAAAAAAACACCTTCACGAAAAAAATTGGCAGCTAGAGACAACAAGCAAATGGGAAGCTCTACTGAAGAAATCCCACTCCATGAAAAGCAGCAGGCAGTGACAAGCCCTGAAAAAGACAACTGCACACAAAAAATCTGGCAGCCACACACAACAAGCAAACTAGAAACCCAATCAACAAAAATCCCACTTCAAGAAAAGCAGCAGGCCGACCAAGCAGGCCAGCGACAGGCCCTGAACAAAATCCACCTTCACAAAAAAACATGGCAGCTAGAGACAGCAAGCAAACTAGAAGCCCAATGGAAAAAATCCAACTTCAAGAAAAGCAGCAGGCCGACCAGTGACAGGCCCTGAAAAAATCCACCTTCGCCAAAAAATATGGCAGCTAGAGACAACAAGCAAACTAGAAGCCCCATGGAAAAAATCCCACTTCAAGAAAAGCAGCAGGCCCACCAAGCAGGCCAGTGACAGGCCCTGAAAAAAATCCACCTTCACCACTAAATATGGCTGCTAGAAACAACCAGCAAATGGGAAGCTCTACTGAAGAAATCCCACTCCATGAAAAGCAGCAGGCCGACCAAGCAGGCCAGTGACAGGCCCTGAAAAAAACAACTGCACAAAAAAACTGGCAGCCACACACAACAAGCAAACTAGAAGCCCAAAGGAAAAAGTCCCACTTCAAGAAAAGCAGCAGGCCGGCCAAGCAGGCCAGTGACAGGCCCTGAAAAAATCACCTTCACCAAAAAATATGGCAGCTAGAGACAACAAGCAAACTAGAAGCCCCATGGAAAAATCCAACTTCAAGAAAACAGCAGGCCCACCAAGCAGGCCAATGACAGGCCCTGAAAAAATCCACCTTCACCAAAAAAAGGCAGCTAGAGGCAACAAGCAAATGGGAAGCTCTACTGAAGAAATCCCACTCCATGAAAAGCAGCAGGCCGACCAAGCAGGCCAGTGACAGGCCTTGAAAAAAACCAACTGCGAAAACACAACTGCATTTGGTTTTTTTTTATCTCCCCAGGTAAAGAAACCTCGCTGTTGGGACTTGGGATTTTGAGCTTTTTGAACTGTTTGAACTCTCCAAGTAAAGAAACATCACTGTGGGGGCCCGGTGTTTTGAACTTTTTGAACTTTTTGAACTCCCCAAGTAAAGAAACATCACTTTGGGGCCCGGTGTTTTGAACTTTGTTGGTCTCCCCAAATCAGGAACTAGGATTCGAGGGACCCTGGATGTTGACTTAATATGTTTTTCCAAAATTCCCAAGTAAAGAAGCATGACTTGAGCGACCCAACTTGGGTAACTGCCACCAACCCAAACTAAATGAAACAAGCGGCCCCTCAAAACAACAAACCCTAACTAAATAAAACAAGCGGCCCCTCCAAACCAACAACCAAAACTAATGAAACAACGGCCCCCTCCAAACCACAAACCCAAACTACAGCAAATGGAAGAGCGGCCCCCTCCAAACCACCTGAAACTAGAACCATCAACCTAAACTAAAGGGAAAAATCCTCCACACAACCAACGCCAACTAAATGAAACAAGCGGCCCCTCCAAACATCAACCCAAACCAAATGGAAAAAGCGGCCCCCTCCAAACTACGAACCCAAACTAAATGCATCAAACAGCCCCTCCAAACAAGCAACCGAAACTAATGGAAAACCGGCCCCCTCCAAACCAATAACGAAAATTGAAAAAACTAGAACCATCAAGCTGCACTAAAAAAAACAGCGGCCCCTCCACACAACCAACCCAAACTAAATGAAACAAACGGCCCCTCCAAACCAGCAACCCAAACTAATGGAAAACCGCCCCCCCAATACATCAAATGGAAAAGCAGACCCCTCCAAACCACCGACAAAAATTACGTGAAATTAGTACCATCAACCCAAACTAAATGGAAAAACGGCCCCTCCACACAACCAACCCAAACTAAATGAAACAAGCGGCCCCTCCAAACCAGCAACCCAAACCAAATGGAAACAGTGGGCCCCTCCAAACTACCAACCAAAACTAAATGAATGAAATGGCCCCTGCAAACCAGCAACCGAAACTAACGGAAAACCGGCCCCCTGCAAACTGCCTACCCAAACCACATGAACAAGCGGCCCCCTCCAAACCATAAATGAAGCTAGAACCACAAACCCAAACTAAGTGGAAAAAGCGGCCCGCTCCAAACCTCTTCTTTCCAAAGCCAGGCTTTCCCTCTTTGTCTTTTACGTTTGGGGATTCTCAGATACTTATTTTACTCTAACAAGTACATATTTTACTGCGCCAGGATGATGCCGTTCTTCGGAAACGATTATATATGTCTATGACCTTTTAAAGGTGTGTGACGTCCGACGCAGCGCGAATCTTGGCAAGGAGGTATGTAACAGGGGCTCTTGTTATAGTCTGTCATGAGAGAAAAGTGCTTGACACCTCCGCAGTTCCAGCACGAAAGTCGCAACTATTGATTCATCCGGCCCCTTGCTAACTGCATGTTGCAACTGTGCTTCTGCTTAAGGATAAGCTCTTTGCAACTCTGCACATGAGTTTATCTTTTTATATCTTTTTGCAATCGTTGTTTAATCTGTTTTACATGTTTTTTTTAAAAAAAAAATCTGTTCTCATTTCTTTTGTTTTTTAAACTTGTTTTTTTATCTTGTTTTTTTCCTTGTTAATCTTTTTGTATCTTTTTTGATTTTTTCATTTAATCTTGAGTATCTTCCTATTAGAAGAAACAATAGCTACTAAGATCAGACTAAGTGTCCGGTATCTAGACTATCTACTTACTTTCTCTTATATCTGCATTATCTTGCCACGAGGCTTCTTAGTGTCCGGCTCGGCTTCTCCGCTAGCGCGGCCGCGAGTGGCCGCGCCACTGGCCGCGCGTCCATCTCCGCCTCCGAAGCGTCGGCCAGCGCTGGGCAGCGCCCCATGACATCACGCACTTGACCCGTGAGCCCGCTCAAAGTGGCGGGCTTTCTCCGCGGAAGGATTTCGACCACCGGCTGCGCCGGCTGCATCCCAGCCTGCAGCCCAAGCAGCGCTTGCTGCAGCATGGCCGCCGCAGCCTCCCGCAGCTGCTGCTGGCGGCCCGCTGGGGGCTGCGGGTTCCACGCGGACAGATTCCCGCCGTCTGCTTGGGCGCCGCCCAGAAGAAGGGGTCTATTCGTGCGCCTCGCACGCTCGTTGTCACGCTGCGCACTTCCGCCGCAAAGTCGGCATCTGTGACGTCGGCGGCCTGCATCTTGTCAAAGACGTCCGTAAAAGTCGCGCCGTAATCCCGCTGAAAGGATCTTCCGGCAACCTCTGAACCCATTGCGTCGGCTTTGAGCGTGCCGGGCACCCTTCCGCCAGAAGCACTCGTACAAGAAGAGATCGTAGGCGCGGCAGCTCTCGAAGGGCGCATCGTCTCCCTACACTGCAAGAAGCGCCGCCGCCATGACCCCGAACGTTTGCTCGCTTTGTGCGCGAAGACCGGGCCTCTCCAGGAACCGCGTCATCTCCTCGAGGCGCGCGGCGCGTGGCCACGAGCTCCTCCACGACGAAGCAGCGCGGGAAGTACGCGGGCATCATGCTGTAGCCGCCATGGGGCTATACGCCGCTGCGACAAAGGCCGCGCAGAGCACGCACAAAAAAAAAAAACGACAACGGCTGCGGCGCAAAGCAAGCATCAGCGAGACACGCGTCTGCGCATGCACCCCCTTAATTTCAACACTGCGAGCTCCTGAATATGCGCAATTTGCGTTTTCGCCTCGTCGTCATCCATGCCAAAATCAGGTTTTCTGGGCTCTCCTCCTTGACCGCGAACTTGAACTTATTTGAACTTAGGGAACTTAGGGAACTTAGCCTAAACACCTTATAAGTTAGTTACAGTAAGTCTCTCAAGTTAACTTACGGTAGAACTTAGCACAACCTCCATAAGTCAGGTTATAAGGTCTACTAGACTTTAGCATAACCACCACACGATCTAGTATAGGGCGTACCGAGTGTACACTGCAGCGAGGAAGTTGGTTCTGCAGCAAGACCCAGACAATGTGTCGGCGCTCATCGTCACCTCGTTGATGTGGAAGTACTTCGTGGAAAACAACTCTGCCGGGTCCCACCCAGTGAGGCTTGCCCGACTTCTTGTGGCCGCCACGCTTGCCCGAGTGGACAGATGCTGGCCATTGCTTACGCCACACCATGACCAACTGCATCGGATGGAAGGTGCGAAGTGGCTGACGAACCGTGGTGTTGTTTAGCTTGGACATGATTCGTAGAGCTCTGGTTCCTCGGGCCGTCTCCTCGGCTGACTGGCGTAGTTGAACTAGCCGTGAAAAATCACTACCAGGAGATTCTGGCAGGGCCGAGAGAGTCCTCATGTCCTCATCGGTGATGGAATAGTCCTTACCATAGCACCTGGAAGGAGGAGTAGCCTTTCACATACTCAGTGGAGTTGAGAGCGGCTATCGCCAGGTGCAAGGTGATGATCGGATCTTGAGCAGGTGCTCCAAGCTGGATGGCAGAGGCGGTCATCTTGACATCCTTCATGGCGGATTCAATTTGGCCATGTGCCCAGCTCTCCTTCTCGGCAGGTGGTGCCAACTGAATGCCCACATCCGACAGGAAGCTACCCATGTCCTTGGAGACCATGGTGAGTGCATTGTCCGGGATGAGGATCTCCGGCTTGGGTTTGTCGGCCAACCATTTTTCAGCAAAGCCGCGAATGATGTCCTCTGTGCTCTCACTCTGCATCTGCAGTGTGTCGTAGCACTTGATGATGTGAATGACACGTAGGCGTGTGGCCAGGTCCATCATAAGGAGGAACTTGACCTTGGTCTTGGCGCTCGGGATGATCCATTCACTGACATCCATGCCAACGGCTTGCCAGGCTCGGTATAGCTGGTGTGTAGCTGCAGGTGGAACCAAGCCAGAAGATGCTCCGCCAGGTCGAAGAGCAGCACAAGATGCACACTTGAAGCGCTTGGCCATCTCGATCTTCCAAGGTGGTAGTTGTGCGTCGCGAAAGAGGTGGATCAGGTTCCGGTTGGTCGGATGTCCAGCGGCTCGATGAAAGCGATGTAGTTTTGCTTCCCATGCCTTGGCTTCATCAGGATCTACATCGGCAAGTAGGTCGGGTGGTTCGCCATCAGGTGCTGGTGGATCATCAGGCCGTGCAACTTGCTGGGCATAGACATTGCCCGTTGAATTCGTTGGTAGTACTTGAGGAGGAGATTGTTGAGTCGCTCTTGAGGACGTAGACTGCAACAGAGCTTGAGGTTGAGATGCTGCAGGCGTCAAAGGAGCAGTAATAAAGGCTGAATCTCCATCCAGATGGTGGTAGGTCATATGGATGTTTTGGAGCGGGCTCTCACGACGAGTCCAGTTGCCGTCCTCATCGTCAAACTCGTTGTTGGCGATGTTCTGAGTGGCCGAGAGGTACTTGATATGGCGAAGAGGTACCAGTTCACGAAGCCAGTGTCTGACAATGGCTTGTACCATCTTGAGCGGGTAGTAAGCACTGCGGGCTGTTTCACTGCCCTCTATGCGGGCGTGCTCGTGGTTGGCGGTGCAGACCTTGGCTCGGAAGTTGTGATGGAAGCGCTCATCGGTGGTGCGGATCATCCATTTCTTGTGGATCAAGGCAGATCCGTTCGCGGTCTTCATGTTGTACCGACAGCCATCAATTCGACATGGAAGCCAGTCATGACCAAGAGCTTGTAGTCCATCACGAAGATCTAGTAGTGGCTGTTGCACCCAACCAGAGCAGGGATGTGTCCATTCCCAGTAGATGTCAACGTTGGGGTCCTTCCGGAGGATATCTAGGAAGAAGGTCTTGGCCTGCTTGAGCATGCGGCGTTCACGGCGCCGTGCAGTTTCTAGGACTTCGCGACGTTCAGGAGTGCTGTAGTTCAGATTGGCAAACTGACACCACTTAGTACACGGTGGTGAGAACCAAATCTTGCGTGGTTTGTGACGTCGCCGTAGAACACGAAGCTTGTCCCAAGTGTCTGGTTTGTAGATGTCGTAGCCAGACTCGAAGTTGATGCAGCGTGCTTGTAGTCCACGTTGCTGTGCCTCGGAGGTGAGCCAGGAGGTGCTGGAACAGGCGACTTCCCACATGAAGTCCTGACCATCAAGTACTATGTCAGCTGATGCTGAGGTGAGGTTGTTGTTCATGAGGGTCATGAGCTGGAGTAGCTTGAGGCCGAGATGCTGAGGTAGTCGCTTCACTGGCTCTCCGTGATGGGCGTCATGATGCCGTCCTCGAAGGACTTGGCCTTGCGCTCCTTCAGCATCTGAAAGAGCCTGGTCGGTGAGGTGCTTCTCCATTTCGTGCATGATTTCGAGATTCTTGGGATCCTTGGTAGGAGATGTTCCCACAGCTTCCCAACTGCCGTTGGATGCCGCCGATGTCGACGTCCTCGAAGGTGACACGGCGCGAGTCTTTACTGGTGCTGGCTGTGGTGGAGGAGCTGACTTGGTGGCTTTCTTGACCTCGTCGACCTTGAGAAGGAGCTTCTCCTCGGCGTTCAGCTGCTCCATCATGGTGATGCATAGTGTTGCCGTGGGTTTCACATCCTCGAGCAACACCTTCAGCTGGGAGCATCCGGCCCACCACAACAGGGTTCATGCTCTGAGTGTGACTCCCCGGACTGGCCTTCCGAGGGGTGTACTGAAGGCGGTAGTTGCAGACCTCGCATTGAGCCCACTCTTGGGTTGATGGCGTCCGTAGCATGGCCATTGGCTCTGGGAGTGTCGGGGATCTCGAGGGTCTGGTCCCACACTCCTTGACAGGTCGAAGTCGTGTGGTGTCTTCTTCTTGGGAGTGGACTTCTTGATCTGGTCGTAGCTCAGTTCCTCGCCCTCCGCACCCAGGTGTGACATCGGTGGTCGGGACATGGCCGTCGAGAGGTATACGAATTGGGTTCCCGTGGCTGGGGTGCCACGCGCATTTGAGCAGATGCTCTACGGAGTCGATCCATCATGAGTATTCGCCGTGGATCAATCGCACAGTCAACTGTGGCAACATCATGCTCGGCAGAGTCAAGCTGAAAGTGCAGGGGGTGAAATTCAAGCACATGCGACTCTCCCATCATGCCACCGAGACTCCCTTTGATGAGAACGTGGGCGTGACCTTGTGGGTTGTGCTGACCCTTGGTGAGATACTCCCTAATGTCCAAAACATAGTGTCCCTTGTGGTTCTGTCGAAGCTGATATGGACGGGGATCATCTTCCAGGGTATTCAAGGCCAGGCCGGTGGTAAAATCAATCATCATAGATGCCCCATGTTGACCCAAATGATCCATTCCAATGAGGATGGGGACCAACATAGATCTTTGAAAACCAGGAGCATGTAGTTCTGGTGGATTGGGTAGGGCATAGACCTTGAAGTTGCGGGTTTCACCTGAAACGGCACTACTGATGTTGACCTGGTACAAGGCACGCCCCCACTTCCCGTTCCCACAGCGAAAGTATGGCCGCGCGGATTGGTCCACTTCGATCACAGCTGAGTGGTCCTGTGCCACGACGGCCTTGATGAGGCCCTGTACTGCAAGTTCGGGTCCGGCTGATGCGGTGGCCCCGCAATCCATACCTTCAAAATCGCCCTGGGTAGATGCCAGGGAGGTGGAGTGGCACTCTTTTGAGCTTTTGGTGCTCATGTCCAGGCCAAAGTACTCCGTGGTGTAGGCGTTGACAAAGGAGCGCGGTGGTGCAGAAGTGCCCTTGCCAGAGGACCAGTTCTTGCCTTTGCCCTTGAAGTACATGGCGTCGTGGTCGTACTCCCCGAAGTTGGCAAACTTGCCCTTGCCCTTGCCCTTTTTACACTTGGAGCCCTTGAAGTAGTAGATGTCGTAGTAAGGGTCCATTCCCGCCATGAAGTTGGAGTTTCCCTTACCGCCGGCTCCTTTGGGATGAGCAGGGTGACGTCGGTCGGGACAGTCACGAGCCATGTGATTGCAGCCACAATTGAAGCATTGGATGGGCGACTTGCCCTTCCCGAAACCACGATCACGGTGAAGAGCAGCAGTGGCTTGTTTGGCCTGCACCCATGTGCGTTGAGCTTCTTGAGCAAGTTGTTCAGCGACACGTTCAGCTTGTTGTGCTTCTTGAAGATGGGCATCATCACCGGTGTCAGGAACATCTGGCTCTTCAGGTGGTGTAGCGTCGTCTTCCCAGACAGAGGCGTCTCCAGCGTACCATTGTTGATACCAGTCCTCTTCAGGCCACCAGGGCTCAGATGAGTAGCCTTGCTGCCACTCTGATCCATGATGATCAGCATCAGGAGCTTCTTGATAATGCAGGTATCCTTGATGAGCAGCAGGGGAATGGGCATGACGAGGACCAAGTAGTTGTTCATCCCAGAGAAGACGAAGAGCACTGCTGATGGACTCATAGTCCATTTGATTGCGCGTGGTGGACAAAATGTCCCGCTTCTCCTCGTTGGAGAGGCTTGCAGCTTGAAGCAACCGCCAGCCTCGGAGAACACCCATGATGAAGGAGTCGGTGGTGGACAGCTCATTCACGAGGTTCCCATCGAGGGCCGCAATGGGTGTAATTGTCGCCTCCACAGCCGGTGCAGCAGTCGATGGAACAGCAGGCGTAGGACCAGTGGCTGAGCGGGTAGGCGAGGCGCCGGGAGCTGCCTCTCGGGAGCTCGTCTCTCCTGACGTATTGCCAGGTTGTTCTTGTGATGGTTCAGGGGCAGAGGGATCAGCAGGCTCGGCACCATAGAAGGAATCATCCGGATCGTAGTTGGCCTCATCGCCGTACCAGGACTCCTCGCGGTAGGCCGAAGTCCTTGTCCTCCTGCTTGATGCCATTCTGCTCCTCGTAGAGAGCTTCCGTAAACTCTGCGTATCCCAGGGTCTCGCGGATCAAGAAGGCCTGCATGGTCTCCTGAGGAAGGCGCTTGAAGGCAAAGTATCGCCGCAGTGTTCGGAAGGCTTTGTCTGACCAGTGGTGATGCTGCTAGGCGTCTAAGAAGGTCACGGGTACCGTCTGGTGTGTCGAAAGCTGCCAATGGCCAGGACATGGCCAGCAGCCTTGCAGGTCCTGTCAAGCGGCTCACCAAGCGGGTGGCACAGTACCGCCGCTTATGTTGCGGCACTGATTGTACCCACCAGGCAGTCTCTCTTGTGTATTTGCGCCATGTCTTCGCTGAGCCATCCCAGGACGGTGCGCTGCCCTCCTTGTCGCTCATGATGTGGATGCCAACCTCAACGTCGCGTGGGCGAGGGAGGTCAAAGCACGGGTGGTGTATCACAGCAGGGAGCTGAATGCACACACAAAAGGGAAAAGCAGGTGGTAACCCTTGATGCACAGGGTCGGGCCAATGAAAAAGGGCAGAAGGTCTCTGATGTACAGAACCAGGCCTTAGGCGGATCTGAGAGGGTTCAGGAGCTTCTGGATCGGGTAGCCGTGCTCCGCTACCAATGCAATGGCGTAGCTCTCAAAGCGCAGCACAATGACGTGTCCTTTTGGCACGGGATGCGAAGGTGGTCTGTCCACCGGCGTAGTGATGGCTGCACAGGTCGATTGCTAAGGCGCAAGGGGCCCCTAGATGATTGGTGGCCGCGGTATGCACACAGGAGACTCATGTGAGGTCCTTGCAAGGGCAGCAACTGATGGGCCCACATGTACAGAGGCCTAGCTGAATTGCAGATTCCTTATTGGACGTCGGCGCAGACTCGTCGTGTGCTTTGTGTTCAATGCATGTTGGTTACCACGAGCGCACTACTGCGTGCAGTACTTGAAGATTCCGTGTTGGACGAAGGTGCTTTCTTTTCAACGCAGTTTGATTTGTGAAAGCCGTAAAACAAGAAGAAGAAAGAAGCGCTGTTTGCCAGTCCAAACCCCCGCCCCAAGCCCGCCATGACATTTGAAGAATTTGCGCCACCCACGTTGAAACTCCCATCCCCGCCGGCTAGGTTTGGTCTCGCCGGGAGCTTCAATAGCCGACATCTTAGCAGTGGGGGCGAGGGGCTGTGTACTTGTTTGGGGGGATGAAATACAGGGACAGTTTGTGGAAATCCACAATTTTGGGCCTACAAACTCTGGGTTTGTGTGTTTGGAGGCCATTTTTTGAGGTGAAAGGGAAGCCAAAAGATAGCCATTGTGGGTGTATTGTGTCCATGGGTTTACAGACTCAGGCTTTGATTCCGACACCGAAGGTGCCAGGCCAGAAAGGTGCCGGGGCAGTTGGTTATCCGCATGGCCAGCCAGCTGAAGATAAGACAGAGTCAACCACCAGAAGCTCTCTTGATACCTCGCTTTAGCTACGGGGGTCAGTAGCTTCCACCACAGGAAGCCGGGTACAGTAGCAACCCAGAGGACTTAGGGTTGTTTTGATCGAGGATTTGTGAATGTCATGGTGCTCTGAGGCTATGGGGGGCTGCCTCCAAATGGAAGAACGCAAGCCATTTTCGGGGGGGTCCATTGTGAGAGCTTATATCATGGGCTGAAGACTCGCGTTCTGCCAGTGTGGATTTGCTTGGCATCATGGATTCGTCCAAGGTTTAACAAGGAACCTGGTGACCTGGGCCGTGGAAGTTGCCCAGTGGCCCGGGCCGTTTTGGAAGTTGTGAACATGATATCAACTCACATCGGAGAGCCGTGGAGAATTTGAACATGAATCAAAGAAGAACCCCTGATTCCGTACGGCTCTCCGAATATGAAGCTCGCTTGGGGGCTGCTCTCCATAGAAGTCGCCAGGCCTCCCTGCGCCAAACCATTCAGCCTCCAGGCCATCTGACTGCCACGCAGTTCGGTTATAACCTTTTTGGCTCAACCCTCAGACCCAGGTATAGGCACTCCTATTCCAAAAGCCAATCTTTTTAAAGGCTATGTATAATAGATATTCTTTATATAGCAGGATAATAAGCGGCACCTGCAGGGGGGCAACCATTTCTGGGGCATCGCTCTCAGAACCCGCATCTGAGAAGTTTGTGAAATCCTGCCGGACATCTTCTTGCCACCTATAGACTCAAGATGCGAATTTGTAGGTTCTGTTTGGAAAGCCCGACTTTTTGTTGACCCTTGCACAAAAAGTCGGGCTCTTTCCCAACAAAAATCCAGGCACCACATGCGTCACGCCACCTTCCCACCGGCTCAGTGACTCAGGTTGGAGCAGCACTACCATGGCACAGGTCCCGGGGCTGCCGGGATTGCCCGGAACCCCGGGGTCGCTTTACGCGAAGTCGGGATGGGAGGGTCGCTAGGCTTGGAGTGGGCGACTTGCAAAAGTCGGTTTACTTGGTAGCTGGTTTGGTGTTGCTTGTGTTTGGTTGGCTGGTTGATGTATGACTCTGTGAGATGTTCGACGGAAATAAACAGGGTGAGTCGCTTTGGGCATGGAGTGTTCGCGAGTTGAAGCCTTTTCTCCGCCGGGCCATGGTGGCAAACTAAGTTTCGATGAGTTGGCAGAATTGGTACTTGGAAGGGTTCATCCCCTATGTTGTTTCTCCAAACACCAGGCCTTGTCCTTATTAGGCGAGGCTTGTGGAAAGGATGGGAAATAATGGGGAAGCCAGGACTTAGAATGGTGAAGACCTTGCCCTTTGGTTTCCGAATCTGTCTGACTTGTTGCAATCGAAGACTCGCCTGCTTATGGCGACAACTAACACAAGTAAGACGGACATCAGCCAGATTCACAACGTCATGCGCCTCTTTTTTGGAGCAAGGTTCCTTTATTCTAGCCCAAAAAAGTTCCCTGTGTCCCATGAAATTCTATTGGAATTCTGGCTAGGTTCTTTGCCAGCTCAGGTATGGGGCCGAGATCACTGTCGGCGACTCTGGCGAGGAGTTCTTTCACGTTCTGGGCGACGAGGACTCGAGTTCCTGGACTTCTGACTTTTGGGGAAGACTGGCCCCTGGCGCCCGTTGTGGGGCTTCCTTGCTGTCTTTGGTCCAACTTTGCAGGTTGTCGTTGGGTCTCATGATTCCTGATTGTTGGTTCTTGATCCATGGCCCGCACACCTACCTCAAGAAAGGTTAAGTGAGGGGGCGCAGTGGGCAGCGTACTTAACGTCAGTTTCCCTCAGTCATGCAGCGCCGTGCAGACCCGTCGCATAACGAGTCCGGCATAACTAATTCTTGCAGTATCCACCTCAAGACTCCCTGAGGAGTGGAAGAGACAAAACAAGAAGGATTTCGAATTCATCCTGCGTGACACGTGATTGCTAAGGCCAGACCGGAGAACACTTGAGTAGTGCCAGAGCAACAACAAAGCACATGGCTCACATCAACATCCGGCGCGCCACACAAAGAGCAGGCCACCAAGGTTTCAGAGCAGTGAAGGTCCGGTCATGTGTTTGGGGGTGTCCTGGGGTTTGTTCTTACGGATGTTTTGTGGTTATTTGGGATCGGGGGTGTCTTGGGGGATGTCTTTGAGTGATGTCTTCGGGTTATGTTTTTCCCTTTGTGTTGTGTTTGTGGTTGGGGGTTGTTTTGGGGTGCTGTCCTCGGGTGATGTCTTTGGTGGTGCGTGTTGGAATTCTATCGGGCTGTGCATTGGTGGATTTTGTTGAAGATGCCTTTGTGCAGGTCCTTGGGGGCTCTCTCTTGGTCTTTGGAATTTTGTCTTTGCGAAGTTTGTCTCCGGGAGTGTTTCTGGCTTGTTTTTGGAGACCTTTGGAAACGCTTCCTCGAGATGTCCTTGGGAACGTCTTTGGGGATGGTATGGATATGCGTTTAAAAGTTTGGGGGTGTTCTTGGACGGGTTTGTCTTTGGGGCTTTTCTAACAACGGGGCTGTTGTTGGGGATGTGTTTAGGGGCCCCCTTGTGAATGTGTTTGGGAAGTAAAGTCCACTGATGTATCGTCGGTGTGTGTTTGGGCCCGTCATTGGATGTGTCTTTGTGCGTGCCTTCTGGGGATGCGAAATTGCATTGCATATGTTTGCATTCGAGTTCTTGGCCTCTATCGGGTGTTGTGTTTCAATGGCGCCCTTTGGTCGTCGTAGTGATCTTCTTGACGTCATACTTTTTAGACCATCGTAACTCAAGTGTTTGCGAGGACTATTGAGCAGACCGTTTGGACTTTGGGGCAATGGAAGACACTTGGAGCCAAACTGACAGGACAGCAGCCAGGTGTACTATCCGGCACTGCCTCGCTGCACCCGGAAGGCCGGCGGGTCGGGAACGCAGGCACAAATTCTCCCCATGGGTTGAAACATGGTGAGCTTTACGTGGGGATCCCTGAATTCAGGCTTCAACTTGGCAGAGTGCACAAAACCACCTGTCTCTTGGGAGGGGCGAGAAGGTACACTAAACTTCAACCACAAGGGAACACACACACCCAACATTCCTATTCAGGAAACAAATGGAACAAGTCATTTTGACGTCCTATGGAAAGGAGAAGCGCACCAGGGTAACATTGTGGAGTTTGTCGTTAGTCAAGACCCCTGGCTGAAAAAGTAGGTTGCTTGCTGGCAGTTCTGTCAACTGCCTTTTGACCTCTTGGTTCAGAGCTTTGTCATCCATCTTTAATCAGGTTTCCATAAACACGAACCCAAACTGCGTATCCTCAAAAACAGACACACCCAACTCAACAAGGTGATCCTCATGTTGTCTGCATTCGCAGTTCAGAGCTTTTACATTTGTCATTTGAGTTGCTTGTTGGACTGATCCCTCCATGATAAACCGGCAAACATGAAGTGCTTGTGATACGGCAGAGGACTTGCATTCCGACGGCTGTGGCAGGGTTTTGCGCTCTGGCTTGTCATTGGCTTCTTGCTTGAATGCCCCGCCGTGCTTTCATTTGCTTGGGCTTAACATGGTGGCGCAAAAATGAAGGTGAGCCTCAACACGGCGGATTTCCTCTCTTCCTTTGAACATCAACACCTTTGTTTGGGGTGAGCCTGTGATTTGAGCCCGGTTCCGAGCTCGGCGATCCGATTCGCCGCAAGTTCCGTGGATCGGCCGCCGCGCGGATTGTTGTTTTCGGCTCAAGGCTTGAAGCCACGAAGGGTGCGGGTGGCAAGTTGCAGGGCTTGCCCCGGGGTCTATTGGAAGGCTCCATGGTCTTAACCCCAAGGCCTTGAGGGCTTGCCCTAGGCTTGTCCTAGGCTTGGCATAGACCCCCCCCAGCTATGTAACCCTTCGAATTCAAGCAGCAAACCGGGTATCTTGTCACTGCTCTTGTGTGGAGCTATCCCACAGCATACACAAAACCCAGCACCAACACTCATCGTAGTCCATGGATTCTGAGCCATGGGCACTAAACAGTCAGGCTGTGGCTCAACTTACGGCATTCTGAGTCAGAATCCGGGGACCCCCCATTTTGGGCTGGTTCCCTGGTTTTGCCAGGTACCGACTCAAAACAACACCAAATTGGGAGGTGTCCCTTTGGTTTCCCTGCAATACCAGCCGAAAAGGGGTTCCCCTAAAAACAAGACGCACACATTTGTCAAGCTTTAGCCACCTTCGGCATTCAGCGGGCGTCGGATAGCACTCTGCGCGATCCATCCTCCGCTCGCGGATCGATGACGCGGCAGCCCGGGCGCCGATCAGATGCGAGTCGTCGATGAGATGTCTCGTTGGGGGCTCTTTGGTATGGCTGGTGATTTTTAGTTGGGTGCATCGTTTTCTAGGCGTCGGTGTCCCTTTAAACCACTCCCAAAAGGGTGCCCTCCAAGCCATACACATCCATTTTTTGTAGTAGGGAAGTAGGGGAACCACCTTTCAAAACCAAAAGGAAGACGGCTGGTTACCTACTTTTGTGACAACTGATGGGATGGGTATGTGTCAAAACAGGGGTGACGCCTGGCGGGAAATGTTTACCGAGCCTCTTAGTTGTGTTTTAGTGCGACCTTGAAAGATTTAATCTTTTTGACAATGATTGTCCCCACTAACTTGCAAAAAGTGTCACTTTCTGCAAGGCTCAAAGACCTCCTCTCCCACACCAAGAGCCATTCCTGCGAAGCGGCGCAAACGCTCACTCTGACGCAAGAAGCAAGAAAATGGCCAGCTATGTCAATGTTACACGTGTCCATGTGGCCTTTGGGTAACAGCCAGCTAAATTAGTCTGTATGATTATAGCTATGTTGCCCTTTTGTTGTGGCCTTTAGACACCGGTAGGTATTCTTATCAGCCAAGTCTCTCATGCGCTGCAGTGCTCGTTATGCCTCTCTTGAAGCACTCAAATGGCTTCCTGGTCATGTGTTTGCTTTCTGGTCACTCTAACCCAACAACAATTAATATGTTTCATATTCCGCTTGCCAAGCCCAGCCTGACTCACTGACGCCGCAGCCCTTTTTGAGGAAAGCATGAAGTTCCTAGGCTAGGTCCCCCAGTAGTGCCCTTTTACCGTTTCTTTTTTGTGGGATTTTGGGGGAGGGTTCCCCTATACTAGACTACAAAAAAAAATCTGGTGGGGCCCTTATTCTAGCCTCTCTACTGGAGGACCTAGTAGGTTTTGTGGATCCCCATAAAGATGCGCAAGGCCAAGGGGGAAATCCAGGACGGCTGCCTGACACGGCTTGACATCACCAACACGCCCAAACAAAAAGCTATAGCTGCAGGCGCTACCGAAAGCTGGTCGGGCTTTCGGAAGTTGGAAGTTTGAGACTCATCGGGATGATGTCCCCATTCTTTTCAACCATTGTCATTTTCAGAAACTGGCCGTTTTTTTTTTTTTTCCCCCCCCCCCCCCCCCCCATTTTTGTCTGGAGGTTAGAAAGAAGGATCCCTGGGTTCAGAAAGGGACAGGTACCCCTACGAATGTTCAGTTGACAGCAGGAAGGCCCGAGGCTGAAGTGTGCTGAGGCCTGAAGCTCCAACGCCAGGCGGGAAGCTGAAGGAAATCCGCCCCCATTTTGAAGGTCCCCTTTGGAACGCTTAAGGTTCCATTCTGGTCAGGGGAGGCTTGCGGCTTGGCCCTTGCTCACTTCCCAAGTTGCTGGACTACTTCCCAAGTTTCTGGACTTGGACCCATTTGGGGGTCACCGCACGGTTTGTTTTGGCCATTCCAGGATTCTGGTTAGGATGACCAACCCTGAAGTGGGTAGATCTACTATAGGTGTTGGTGTCCGTTGGTTTAACTCAGGGTTGCCGTGTTGTTCCTTTCCAACAGTGCCGCTTGGGCTTTCGGAAGGGGGTTTCATAGCTGGGGGCAAGGTTCCCTGGTCACCTACGAAAGTGAAGTGCCTGGATCTCAGCTGATTTTTCTCCGGAGAAGCTTGGAACCATCAAGGAGGTACCCAAACGGAGGTTCCTCCAGAAAATTAAACAAAAGCTATGGGATTCAATGAAGGGTGCCAAGAAAGGTATGCAGAGCACCAAAGTTTCCTAAAGCGGCGCACCTTCGGTGCCTCTAATTTGCCCGGCCCTAGGTTTGCCGCAAGGCATGGCTGTCCTTCTCTGAGCTGAATTAGATATGTGGGCGAGTAACAAGGGCCTGCGCCTTAGGAAATTTCTCTGCTATTCGTGCCGAATTCACAGAAATTTGTTTATTCACCTGAAGGCAACGAAACGAGGATGGATCATTTGTGACTGTCCCCTGACCCTTTTTTTTTCACATCAAGAACAGCGCGACAGTTTGGTGGCTATGACAAGTTTTAGGGAGCCACCTCACAAGCGGTACGTTTCGTTCCTTTCCTATTACATCCTATCACACCCCGAGGAACTGGCCCAAAATCATCCCAAATGAGCCAAAATTTCCATGGGCTATAGGGTGATTCCCGATCCCAGGGCGTTTTGGGGAGACCCCTTGGAAAAATGAGCTGTCCACACCGTCCAAAACCGTCCAAGCAGCCCTCGCAGGCGGCCCGCTCTCAGTGACCCTTCGTTTCGAGGACAAGGCGCGCTCCGGCGCGGATCACCCGTAAAGCGCTTCGGCCCGGGTTCCCCCGGTTTCGGTGCCCGGCCTTGGGTTGAAGCAGGATTTTCAGGTTGTTGTTCATTTGCTGTGTGCTGTTCTTGTATTGTCATTGTAGCTTGTTTGGGATGTTTGCCTGAACTTCATCAAATGCAGAATATATGTATGTGCATTAATATGGCTGTGATTTTTTTGAGGGGTCTGTGACAGAGCCGTGGCGGACATTCGTTACAGACCTCGTTACAGACCTCCGTAACAAGACCCGCTGGCTCGTTACACACCCCTCGTTACATACCCCTTGGCTGGTTGCATGCCCCTCGTTACATACCCCCCAAGGATGCCTGCAGATCAGACTTTTGCAGAGCATGCTTTTGCTGAAGAGTGAACTTGCAGAGAGCTTTCCATAGACCTCGTTACACAGCCGTTACATACCTCGTTACAGACACATCCCCAGCCTGGGCTCGCAGCCCCCGCCGCTTGGCTGCTAGAGCTGCGGAGGCGCGCTTTGCGTACTGCGCTTTGCTGTGCCTCGTTACAGACCTCGTTTCGTAGCCGTTACATACCCCGTTATAGACCCAACCCCAGCCCGGGCCAGCGACCCCCCTTTTTGCCACAGCTTAGCTTGCGTTGAATAGCTGCAATCAAGCTGGAGCTGCGGAGCCGCACTTTGCGTACTGCGCTTTGCTTTGCCTCGTTACAGAACTCGTTACATAGCCGTTACATACCTCGCTACAGACCCAACCCCAGCCAGGGCCAGCGACCCCCCTTTTTGCCACAGCTTGGCTTGCGTTGAATGGCTGCAATCAAGCTGGAGCTGGAGGCGCGCTTTGCGTCCTGTGCTTTGCCTTGCCTCGTTACAGACATCTTTACGTAGCCGTTACACACCTCGTTACAGATCCAAGCCCAGCCCGGGCCGCCATCGCTTGGCTTTTGGCAGTTGCAAATTCCTAACTGGAGCTGCAGAGGCGTGTTGTTTTGTGCTACATTGTGCTACTGATACTGGTACTTGTCAAGAAATGTGTTCCCGTTACAGACCTGCGTAACAAGGACCTCCGTTACAGACCTGCGTAACAAGATTCGTGGCGCGTCGCGCATTACAGACCCTCAAAAAATAACATAGCAATATACCTAGAATACGGCGTGCCGCCAGGCTGAGAAAGGTTTTCATGTTGGCTTCCATTGAGACCCCCGGAAAGACCCCCGGAAACAGGTGCAGCCAAAGATATAGTAAACAACGACCAGAAACAAACACACGTGTTGGCCTCTCTCGTGTGAATCCATCAGGAACCAAGGGTGCAGCTCCGTGTTTCGTAGAAGAAGCTGCTAGGCTGATTGAATCTCCTGGTAAACTTACTCGCAGCTCCTGAACTTTGTACTTGGACACGGTGCATGTAACGATTGGCGCGATCAACAAAACATCTTCATCTTAGGACTCCTCGTGGGACGACCGGCTTGGTCGCAAACAAGGTTGCACTTGTGTGGAGCATTCCACAAAAGTGAAGTTATCCCAATCCTTTTTGGCCCTCCAATCGAGAACCCATTGTACCTCAGGCCCTGAAACACCATGAGGCCCCGGAAAAGATCTGGAACCTGGTGAACATGACATGCACCGCAACAGATAATCTTGAGAACCTCATGATTTACCTCAATGACTCCAGACCAGAGTTCTCCGAGCCCAAGTGGACAAATGCCTGACACATTTGCTGCGAGAAGATGCGGGAATGACGCACCGATGCCTGGCATCACGGCGCAACACAGCTGGCTTTTTTGACAGGTTGAGCCTGGGATCATCATTGGAATTGCTTCCAGAGATATCACAGGGCAGCTGATGAACAATCGCAGGCTCGCCCACAGCAACAAAAACACAGAGTTCACAAGGGATACCCGGCAACGTATCACAAAAGCAAAGTCTGTCAAGATGTTGATTATTGTTGATAAGAGTTTTGGCGCTAAGATTGTGAGGTCAGTCCATGCCGGTCCCAGCATGAAGCATGATGCAGTTCGAAGGTTGTGATTCGCCGTGACTATATAATCGTTGTTCAGGCCTGTTCAGACCCTTCCCGTCTTTGAACCAATGGGGGGAGGGGTTTCCATTGGTTTCCTTGAAAAACACTTCTGAGTTGGCAAGCATCCTAAAGACTGCCAGAGATCCGTGGTTTTATCCAGTGCCCATACCAGCCGTTCAAGGCAGTGGGAATTGCATTTCCTCTTCTGTGATACCAGCTAAACGGCTCAGAGAAGGTTCACTGGTATCACAGTGGGCACCTGCCCCGCAGTCCCATCCTCATCCTGACCTGTGTTGACTGGCTGGAAAAGACAAACTTGAGTTTTTAGCCCTAGACCAAAACGGTGAAGAAACCTGGCAACAAAAATGATATTGGTTTGGAAGCTGAAGATGTAAGCGCTGGAAAGGTTTCTGGGCCACACTTTCAGAGAGCATTGGCAACAAACATATATGGTTGTTTATCACTAGATTGGTCTTCTCAAACATACTGAGTCCAGAAACTTTGGACATGAGCCACTCGTATGGGCACCTCGGTACTTCAAGGTATCTAAATCGGGGATAGCCGTACAGCCGCAAACTGTTGTGAACATGTTTGGAACCTAAAGTGGCTGCTGCCAACCATTCATACATTCACCCGTGTTTGATACTGGCAGTGCACATTCAGCCCTTGATGTTACTTTCTGAAAAGGTGTACACAAAAGAAGTCGATGAACCCCATGATTCCCAGATTTTCATGATACCCAGAGTTTCATGCATTTAGGATTGCGCTATGCGAAGTCTTCACACCTTACTTTCGGGGGTCCCTATTTTGAGATAAACTAACTCAGCTGTGTTTTCTTAGGCGTTTATTTTGAGGTTGCCCAAGGAAACCAATGAGGGTCCAAGTACCTCCTGAGGATGGCTTCTGGGGGGTGAAAAAGGGGTCGTTCAGGACCTCCTTAGAGGGTACCAAGGGTCCCTCTGCGAATGGAGAAGCACCCATTTAGAGGCTTCCTATGAGACCAGCCCAGGTTCATAGCCCTCCACATAACTCCTCCGCGCCCTCCCACGTCCGCCCAGTCCGCCGTCTTCGGCTGGGCTGCGGGCGCGCCGGCACGAGACTTCGGCGAGCAGCTCAGAGCCGTCGGGATGCCCAATGTGTCTGTCGTTTTTTTCTGCTTCCTTTTAGCTGTCCATGTTGCATGTTAAAATAGAACTGAGTCCTTTGCTGAAATGGGTAGAAGCTCGAGAACCGTTTCTTTGAGTTGGTGCCCCTTTTTTGTGGCTGAAGGGAAACTATAAAGGAACACTGTTGCGCCCTCTTTTTTTTGGGGGAGGGGGTCCGACCTTAGCAAAGACAACACCAGATGGTGGTTGGGCTGGGTTGGGGCTAGCAGCACCCATAGCCCCCTTTATGGCAACTTTATACTAGTTAGTAGCTGGTTGAGTTCTACCTCGTTTAAGTGCCGCGCATCCGCTTGCCTTCGAACCTGTGGATCGATCTGGGCACTGTCCCGGATCACTTTGGAGTACTCTGAAGGCTTAAATAATTGTAGAGAAAAGTTGTGGGGTACTTCAACACCAAGTTTCGTCATGATGATATGATGATAATGTGTTTTATCACATGCTTTTTATTTAACAAAGAATCCATAGTGGAAATATGTTAATTAGCCTCTTATACTATGATTCCCAGCAGACTGGGTGTACCAGCCAGAGGGTATATGACATGAGTTCTTCAGAGGGCTTTTGTCAGACGTTGGTTGGTCAAACGCCGCGCTCCGGATCTCAAGAAGGCAACACGGCCGTTGCTCAGACCGTTGCTCTTTCTGTGGGGGGAAGCACTGGGCAAACTAGGGTCCCTTGTTGGCACTGTTGCCAAAAAGAGTCATGTGAGCCGCTTGGCCTTTCTATGTCCAACCCGTCTCAAGATGTCTGTAGTTCTTCCGGTTGGGGTTACAGGGGAATGATCACTGGTAAATAGGGGACGCACCCCCAAAGGGAACCCCCAAAATGTGCCATTGTGATCGCCTAAGACCAAAAACCAGAAAGTGCCCAAGCAAGTTCAGGGAATCATTTTGTACTTGAAACCGCAGCCCTAGCTGCACAACCTCAGCTGATTGTGAATCGGACAGGAAATGGTTGCACCTCAGAAGCGCAACGTCAGTTCCTGTCATTTCACGGCAATGTCTCCAGTATAGTTTTCAGCAGCGAGCAAACAAGTTTTGAAAAGGCGCCGGGGTTGAGGGTAGGCTCTCGGTCTTGAGCGATGCCGAGCATTCAAGTTCACATTGTAGCAGCCAGCCTTCTGAATTCAAGGTGCAATCCAAAGCACCGTAGAAGCTTCCATGGGCTTGGGGTATGGCTTTTTTTTTTCAGGGGAGTACTGTACCTGATACACTCCCTCCAACATAGATGGCACCTGTGGGAGGGTGACCCAGATCATGACTTTCCACCTGGAGGTATCCTGTGTCAGTTGCCATGTTAGTGGGAGGGAGGGCACAGCAATGGGCCGGGGCTTATTTCTCAGATCCAAGTCCCGAGGCAGTTCGTCACTTGACAGGCGCGGGGGGCCACTGGGCGGCCAGCATGCAGCATGCCTCTCATGGGGTCATAGCCCTGAGGGTTTGCGTCGACGGCACGTATGGCTTTTTGGGGCGTCGAGTGCATCCCTGACATCATCTCACATCCATGTTGATTGAGTTTCTTTGTGCGCCAAGTTTCGAGACATAGAAAGAGCCTTGTGGGAAACCCGCCCTTGTCCATTTCTCGAAGCTTCTAGGACAAGTTGTTGGTCGCCATCCCTTATTTTGTGGTGCTAAAAAAGCAGATCGGGCTTTTGGTGTTCGATCCATTTGCCTCCGACAGAACAAACATGGAAGCTGAAAGGGATCCCCTGCAAGACCGTTTTAGCAGGGACCCTCTTTTAGGTTCCATCATTGTGTTTGGAGGGTGCCCAACGGTTGCTTTGCCAGGAAGTTGTTACGCCCAAAGCGAATCAACCGAATCTGATCTTGTCATTGGCCCAACCAGGTTGCTCCAACAGGTTGCCCTTTTTCCAGCAATCGTGAAGCGGACAGGATAGTTTTAGAAGACTACCATTGATTTGCACAGGAACCCTCCCCTCTCCCTTTCAGAGGGCGGATCGTCGTGTGGGTCTGGGCACTTGCATGATTGCTGGTGGGAGGGTCGAATTCAAGGCCCACCTTGACGCAATTCCTGAGCCAAAGGAAAGCTCTGAGAGCGAAGGCTCCGTGCAATGTCAGAATCAAAAGATCTCAACGCATATCCACGCCCCCAATGATGCCCCCACTGTTGCTTGCGGTTTTGGACCAAAGAAGTAAAGGTCGTCCGACTGGAGGTCTGGGGTGTTTGCCCGGTTTTATTTTGATCCAACCCCCGGCAGAAATCCGACACGTCTGGTGATCCGGCATCAGAAGACTACTTTATCTTTATAATATAAAAGGATGCCTGATCCCGATTGGCTCTTTTCGCTAGGCATAGTTGTGGACTGATTCTAGAGACCTCACGATGGTGAGGTTCCTGCATTTGTGAGCTTCAAATTTCCACCAGACAGTTGTGGGAAATGAGGTTTGGACCAAGTTTCTTTGTCACAGCGAGGATTCCACTTTGGTGTAAGAAAAGGTCATTATATTGCCCATCCCCACCGCGGAGCCAATGTATGTAAAGACGGGTGCCCCAATACAGGAACCCTTTCCATACATGTTCGCTCTGGGGGTACAAGTCATGTATGGAGACACCCCTACCCCCGCCCCCCGCCTCCCCTGGTTGCATCCAAATCAGGCCTTAATGTTGCCTTGTTAGGGCTCATGTTGGGGAAACATGGGCAGGGGGGGTTCCCAGAGTTGAGAGTGAGGACTTTTCCACCCGCAAGGTGCAGCGACCTTGAACGACATGCAGATTTTGACTGTGCCGGCCTGAGGAATAAGTCATGCGCAGCTTCACTGTTCTTGACATGCTTGTCAGTGTTTGTTGGTTCTGTTCATTTTCAGCGGCTGCAACAAACAAAGCCTATTGCTCACATGCCTGGTTTGGACAGCTAGACAAACTCAAAGGGCAACGTTGCTTCAAAAGGGTACACCGGGGTGAAAGTAGACGGCACAATTCATTTTATGTGGGCAAGGCCAGACCAACATGGGGAAATTGTGCATCTTCTTTGATCCAGCGGGACTAACATATTGATAACATGTTGAGATCTTTGATGTTGTCCCTTGTAAATGGGGAGTGGATACCACTCAAGAGTCCCATGTTTTGCTGGCCTACGAACAGTGGTGACCAGGATGCCAATGAACCATATTGCAACAGCAGGAGCAGCCAGCCTATCCGCTGGATCTTTTTTTTGCTTCTGCAGGCGTGAATTCTGCATCGCGGTCGTGGACCACCTTGCAGTTGGATGCAGATGGTATGTCAGTTCGGACACCAGAGGAAAGCCAACCATGTTAGGCTACCATGTTTTTACGAAACACCCATGTGATCAGCGGCCAAAAGCCCCACAAGGGCCATGGTTAGTAGGGGTCCTACTACCTGCTTTCGTGGGTTTATAACAAGGCCTTACATACGAACCACACGTCAACGGGTCTTGGGCACTGCTCGTGTGTCTTTGAATCTGCTCCATCTGCCGCAGCCAGAGCTTGAGCCGGTCGAGGGCATAGATTGTGCTATAGATGGCCTTGAGCTGCGTGAAAACCGGGGCCTTTTTTGGAAGGAGTAGTGGCTGCCTTTGATTCCTGGTATGTTGCGGATCCTTGGTGGATGTGTGTTTTGCAATGAACACGTTTTAGTTTGTACTCTTGTTGAAGCCAGTTACGACTTCCAGGATCGGCTGGGTTTGGATGAAGTGCAAACAGCAAAAGAACGCAAGCACCCACCCTGGAACACGGGCTTGTGCTCTTGTGAAGCAGCTGCTTTCTGATTTGTGCTTGAAAGCTTGGTCACTACCTGAACTATGCTTCCAAGACGCTGCCTTGGGAAATCCCTCAGTTTCCAACTTTGAGCCTCCTAAAAGTCGCAGTTTCATTGCAACTTGCCAGCAGCATACATGCATAAATTTGGCCAGCTTTGGGGGAACACGTGCCTCTTGGCCCACCATCATCTCACCGGCGATGGCCGGGCTGGGGGAGCTGCGGTTGATCCTACCAGCGACGGTGCTGATGACCCTACAGCCGGTGTCGCCTGGCGATTTTGGACGTGGGATCGAGCAAGCCTGGGCGCACTGCTACCATGCATTTCTCCGTCCACTTTTGCGGGATATTGCGGGATAGCGTTTTTGATGGTTGTGCTTGTCCAATCCACAGAGAGGGAACCCATGATTTCACTTCATCAACCAACAGTCCTGTCCACTGGAGGGATGTTGACTCATGAGTAAACCCCTGGTTGATTTGGGCTGTGTCACATTGGGGGAATCCTTTTGGGGCACACCCCTGTCAATCCGCAAGGTTTGATCCAGGGTCAGCATTTCTGTAGAACGGGGGGTTTCAGTATGGCAATCCAGCATGGATTACTGTACTTGGAGTGTTATAACCTTGACATTGCATCCTAGTTATCCCAGCAATACCCATTTACTAGACACGAAGTACACGACACTTCGGAGCTGTTGTCGTTCCGATTCTCAGAAGAGACACATCGAGTGCCCTACCACCCAAACAATTTGGATCCGAACCGTTGGATCGAGGTTCATGCAAACATGACCCTTTGTGTTTTGTGTCGATTTGGGGTTTGTCACATGAGAAGGGCACTGATTTCGTGTATGAATCCAATCAGCGGAGCGGAAGCCTAGTTTTCCACGCTAGTATCTGAGTTCTTCGGTGGCTTTGATGTTTGGTGGATGTTCCATTAAGCTACGTATGTCAATCCCAACATAGGTTCTCTTGTTTTACCAGGGTGACTCGACAACTGAGTTATTTGTTGGGTCAAACCGCCCTTCTATTTCCTAGGAGACATCCCAGGCTGCGCCTGGCTCAACAGAAAAGGGCTGGTTGTTCTCGGGGCCCAAGTGCATCAGTGTCAATGGCTACTGAAGGCCCACAGGCAACATGACCAGGCCCAGCTTCAACTCATTGCAAGCTTTAGCGACCTCACAAAGAGAGTTTGCGACCTTCAAGTCGGCAAGTTTGCCTTCCACGGAGTTTGGTGCATGATCCCTTTGCGCAAGGAACGGAATGCCTTGCAAAGGGGGTCTTGCAACGTGTTTGTTGCTAGTTGTCTTTGTCTCCATTCCTGGGCTTTTGCGCTTCATACTTTTCGGGAAGACCAACTTGGTAATCCCAATCCCCTCAAGAAGTGAGTGGTTTACTGCCTGCTTTCGCACCTGCAAATCAATTTGAGGGTTCTCCAAATTGTAGTTCCATTTTTCGGAAGGGAACCAAAGGGAAATGGAAAGCCCACTTTTCAAGCGCCCTTTGTGAGAAGCATGATATCGATCGCATCCATAAGCTGTTAGGCTGGTGAAGCTGTCGCAGAACAGCAGGGGAGAGATCGAGTACAGCTCCAGCAGCGTGGTCTTGTGCACGGAGAAGCCACAGCTGCACTTGGGGCGATCGTGGTTGTTTTTGTTGGGCACCCATTTGCTGGCTCCTCCAAAGCTATATTACATTTTAGGGAAGGTTCCATGTTAGTGACGTTAGTGGATGGGTAAATTTGAAGCAGAACCCCACAGAAGGGCCAACTTCTGTGTTTGGTTGAAGGGAAACCAAAGGCAAACCGGGTCAAAATTCTATTTGGACACGTACCCGCTTGGTGTGAACACAGTCCTAGTTGTTCAGCAACCTTGAAAGATCCCCTTTTTGCTTGGTTCCGAAACCAAACATGGCAAGCCCAAGGGTTCCACGTCTGTCACCTTAGGTTTCCTGTGGATCTCACCTGTCAGAATAGAGGGGCCATGCACCGAAAAGGAGGGGCTAGTTGGACTCCGCTGCACTTGTCAAAGCTTAAATCATGTGGTGCGGCTCAGAATAGGTGGTGCAGAAACGACACGCGGAGGAATCTGGTGTTGCCTGTCCCTTCGCTTTCCGCAAAGGCGTAAAAGAGCCGAGTACTCAAGCAAACTCAAGTTGTTTGAAGAAAAGGCTCATCGGTCATCCGGCGAATAGATTAGTTGTTGAACGGATCCTGAGGCAAATAAGGGTATGGGAAGCAGCATGGGAAGGTCTCTCAGTGTTGCATAGCCAGCTAGGAGAAGTGAATTGTTTCCGGCATCCCTACTTGTTTGCTTTTTGCTGTCCAGCTTTGTTCCGTGTGTACATCCCTAGGACAGCAAAGTCAACAGAGCAGGCATAGAAGTGATCAACCCAAGCCAGGATTGATTCAAACCCTAAGTCAGGCCGACTTTTAATCAGTGGCCCAGAGTTCTTCCCTCCAAGATGACATTCATCCAAGAGCCTGTTTGCATACCTTGAGACACCGCGTGCTAGCATATTTTGGTGTCAGAGGACCCTCTCAATTGGCTAAGTGTTGCACGTGATTCGCCCATGTTTGTTTCACGCGCCCCTTGGGGGAACCCCCCAGCACATCCCTTTGGCGATGTAACTTGTTTAATAGCCAGGCTGTGAAGTTGGTTTCGGCGCTGCTCAAGTGGCTGTCAGTCACAAAGGATCCTCAAGATCTGCATCTCACTTGTGGCCTTGGCGCGTGAGCGCCCCAAGCTGGATCTGAGCTGGCTGGACTTCCTGGCCTATGGCTTTCCCGCCCTGACGCCTGCCTATATGTGCCGTCAGATGTCAGGTCCCTGCCAGTGCTGTTAGCCAGCGCATTGTTCTGGGCCCTCCTTTGCACTGTCTGCTGCACGCTTGGCAACTTTTTCTTGGGCAGGCCCAGGAATCCTTGCAATGCTTCGTCATTTGTTCCATTGGCTCCCATTGGGAGGCTGCTTTTTGGGAAGTTCGGATAAGATAACCTACCCTGAAAAGGTCTATGAGTGAAAAGGCTTCATCCCAAGCCCAAAATAAGCCTCCGGCCTCAAGAGAGGGGATTCCAACGTCGAGGGGGTGTAACACAACATGTGAGCAGCGATTTTGCGGTTTTGACGCCATGCAATTGTTACTACCTGATTAAGTATGCTAAATTTGTCAGTGACTGAGGATCTACTTTGTGAACAACAACCTTGTCTTCACCACTTTGTCTCTGCTTGACACCACGACCTTTCAGATCGTGAGCCAGCTGAAAATCGTCTTCACCGCCATCCTCTTTCGTTGCCCGGAAGGACTCAGCGTACTGATTGGACCCCCATCGCCTTCGCTGAGCGGTTCTTACCCCAAACTCCAAACCATAGCAGCGGCAACAGCAGCAACAGCAGCAGCGACAACAATATCATGATCATCATCATCACCATCATCATCATCACCACCATCATCATCATCATCATCATCATCATCATAATCATCCTCATCCTCATCCTCATCCTCATCCTCATCATCATTCTCCTCCTCATCATCCTCCTCCTCCTCCTTCTCATCATCCTCATCCTCATCCTCATCCTCGTCACCATCAACATCGCCATCACCATCATCATCAACAACAGCAACACCAACAACCTTTGTTTGCCATTGTCAAAACACTAAATTACATGGGTCCACAGGGTTGTCATCAACCTTGTAAGGGGTTTGACCGAACTGAAATGCTGTGGAGCTTGCACTTCTAATCAGAAGTAGTGGTGTTTGACTTTCTGATCGTTGTTTTGTAGGGTCATTGTTTGGTGGTTTTCACCTTTGTCCAATTTGAAGTGAGTGTCCTTTGGATTGAAAGTGGCATATGAGCAACCCTGTACCTCCCTTTACCCTCTTGAGAGCCTCTGCTATGAATTCCCCAGACTCCGGAAGGGTGTCCTGAAAAGGCTCTAAGAAGCGTGTAGGAAGGGGGAGGGGGCAAAGCCTCAGCTCTTCAAAATGCAATTTTGGGATGTGACCGCTAGAATT